GTTTGTGATGTCAAAAAGTCTACCTTTACGACCTGGCCTTGAACAGTGAGTTATTTCATATTCTTTTAATATAATTGCATGTCTCATCTATGTGTTTTATTTATGGGGAGCTATCTTTTAAAAGAACTATATTTTTTGGTGCAGTTAGGAGAACAAGCTGTACATTAGTTAAAGGAGAGCAGTCTCTTTAAACCTGAATTTTCCTATTGAGTTATCATACCTAGATTCTTTCACATTTTAAGTCTGAGTCACTTAGTCATTCTAATGGTTTTTGTTGCCATAGATGTAATTTTGACACTATTGGTTTTTCAATTTTTTCTTCTCGTCAATAGCAAACACACTATTAAACAGGGAGTATTTTACTAATTGAAAGTTATTCTAGGCCCATGAATACATAAGGATAATTTTGAGTTATTTTTTTTAAATACACCCTCGTTAATTAATATTATATCTCTCATACTTTTTTTCTTTATTTATTTCATAATTTTTTTTCAGAAAATATTTTTAGAATGTACTTTTTAGAAGTTTTTTTTTCCTTTTAGAAAATAATTTCAAGATTTTTTTCTCTCCAAAAAGTACTATGTTCTAGTACTCCCAAACTTTGAAAAGAAAAAATATACTTCTAAAAGTATTTCAAAACAAAAAAATATATTTCTAAAAAGTACTTCTAAAAGACAGAAATATACTTTCAGGAAGAACGTTTTGGAAGAGAAATATTCTTACCTTATCAAAAAATATTTTCCAAAAGTATATTTTAAAAATCAAAAAGCATAATTTCAAAATGGTAATAATAAATTGTTTCTAATCAATAATTTATTGTAAAATCAACATGTCACACGTTTGGAAATGACATCTTCATCAAGTTCACAACCTTATATCCAATGTATGCAATATTGAAGATAGAGCGAAACATTTAGCTTAAAAAATATTAAAATTAAGAGTGTAAAAATAGTGTTTAGAAAAATAATAAAGACAAGTCAATGAATATTTTGATTGTTAGAGAGAGAAAAAATAAAAGTAATAAAGAAAAAAAACTACTAGGATTAGCCTAGTGGTTGAAGGAATGAGATTGGAATAATTAAAAATGAGAACATAAATTTAATCCTCATTACTCATTTGTTATGTGTCCTATAAATAAATAAAAAAAGTAATAAAGAAGAAGATTGAATAAAGAAAATAGATTTTAGAAATAAAATTTATTTTAAAAGAGTAATAAACTAAAGGGTATTTAAGAAAATTTTAGAAAAAAAATGAGAAAAGAGGCAAATCTATTAAAAGGAGAGGTGTAGATAACATTTGCCTAATTTTGGGCTAGGTGCTTTCCCCTAGAATTTAATTTGGTACCTACTAATTAAAAATAATTTTGGTTTGCATCAAACTTGATATACTGAGACAATAAGTTAAAGCTATTTGTGCAACTTGATAAACAGCTCTGCTTTGATATCCAGGTGACTCAGCTTATGGTGCAATCGTTTGAGATCACACAAGAAATTGGATTTCATCGTTTTCTGGTGCTTGTGGAGTTACATCTAGTCAGAGTTGTTTGCTATTTTTCATGGACTCCGCAAGGCATGAGATGATGGCTTTCTACACATTATTTTTGAGTCAGGCTTCACTCTTGCTTTGCAGCTAATCCAGAATGAAGTGAATCAATTTCATCTTTATTCTAATTTGATTTCTCTTGATCAAAATGTTATGCATTTGAAATGGACAACCTCTTTCAAACATATTCTCTATGAGGGTAGCATAGAGTCATTATTTGGACTGAATGTCCCATCTAGCTATCGGTCCTTGTCTTGACAAGGACACACACACACACACATATATATATATATATATATATATATATATATATATTATTTGTTTTTGGGTGCAAGTCCTTAGATGTGTATTTCATGTTTACTTCTTTTTTTCTCTTGATTGTAGTTGGTCTTCTATTAATTTTTGGAAAGATTTCCGTTCACAGAAGTCCCATTTTAAAATGTTTCTCCTTGTTTACATTGCCTCTTAATATTGGACTGTACTCTGATTGCTTATATTAGTTCTCTTAAAGGTTCAAATGTTACAGGATATTTCATAAATTTAGGAACTTGGATGACTATGGAACAATAAGATTTCCGACGGAAAATTCTGTCAGAAATTTCCGACGGATTTATTTTTCATCGGAAATTTCTGACAGAAAATGGAAATATAAATCTGTCAGAAATTTCCGACGGATCCATATCCGTCGAAAATTTTCCGTTGGAAATTTACATTTTTCTTGTAGTGGATATATACATAAAAATAAACACGTCGACAATTAATTGTTAGAGTGCATCAAGGGAAGGTATCTCACACATATTCACATTAGTATGATATTGTCCACTTTTCACTTAAATCTTCATAATTTTACTTTAGGTAATTTATTAAAAAAAAATCTTATATCAATGGAGCATATGTATATACTTTATAAACTCATGATTCTCTACCTTTTCAAATGATGTGGGACTTTGATTACACTTTTAACAATCCTTCCCTCAAATAAAAAATAATGATTAACCTATAGACTACAAGTATTCAATAATGTCACTAGTACACAAAGGGTCTTTTACGTCACCTATTTTGAGCCTTTTACGTCGGAAAAGGTTCCGACGTTAATACGGGAGACGTAAATTTACGTCGCCTCTGAAAGGCGACGTAAATTTACGTCGGGGATTCTCACTGCCCGACGTAAAAAGGGACAAAAAACATGCCACAATTTTACGTCGGACAAAGCAAGGCCCGACATAAATTTACGTTGGACAAAGCCATGTCCGACGTAAATTGTGGCAGTTTTTTTTTAAAACGTTTATAAATTTTTGATATACCCAACACCTGCATATAAATATAGTCCAAAATATCAAATCTAAACCAGGCAGTCCAGAATAGAAATTCAAATTATATTTCAAAATTGAATGACAAAAAGAAAATAATATATAAATCTTAAAAAACATAAATTATGAAAATATAAATCCTATTATCCTAAAAAAGAGTATTTAAGTATCGTCCTCAGGGATTTAAGAATTTAGTAATTCTTACTCTAATAATCCAATAAAAGACATTGATATGATTGAAAGTGAATTAATGTGAAATAAAATAAAACGATAATGTAAAATTTATAAGAACAGTTATAGGAAGCGATGATTGGACTCAGGAGTACTTGCTAACTCTTAAATCTTCTTAAAATAAATATGATTTCAATTTCATGACTTCTACGTTCATTTAGTAATTCAACAAGATTCTTCAAAGTTGAATCCTAAAGTGATTAATCTAAAACAAGATTCCTCTATGTTTTGAAATTAACACTTTGCATTAAGAACAATGACTTGAACAAGGCGACTAAACAAATCAAGTCTATTCCTAGAACAAGAGATGTTTAGGTGCAAGGTTCAGTTCGGGTTTTTAAAAACGTTTTCTAACCGGATTCAAAAACCAAAAATCATACAACAGGTGATCAAGCCGATATAAGTATTAAGAGAAAAATCAAACACAAGTAATAAAAATGAAATGCATATATATATTTAAGAAGAAGAAAAGTTAGTAGTTACATCCAGACCAATCCTCAAAGATTTAGCCCCTCATGGCCATTTACAAGATCAAAGAAGTGGAAGAAGAAATTACAAAGGAAGAGATGAAGAAAAGGAGTTGATCTCCGTTCCCAAGTGATCCAGCCTCCAAATCTTCATTCCCACTCTGTTCTTTCTTCCTCCTGTGCTCCCAGCTCTTGTTTTTCTCTCTGTTTTCCTCCTACCAAAAATCCCCCTCGTTTCCCTTTTATATCAACTTTAAAACAGGGGAGGAATTGTAATTTTTAAGCTCACTGCTGCAGCTGTAGATTCACAACTATGGCTGTGGGAACTCCTTCAAGGTGAAGTAAGCTTCACAGCTGCAGCTGTGGTTTCACATCCATAGCTGTGAAAACTCTTTCAAGTTTAAGGAACCTCCAACGCTTTAACTGTGAAATTCACAGCTATAACTGTGACTCTCTGGTGCTCTCTCTCAATCTTTAGTGTTCCATGGCTCTAGCTGTGAGCCCACAACTTTCGCTTCAAGTTTCTGGACCCTTAAATTTGCATTCCAGATTTTCACAGCTATAGCTGCAATTTTCTGACCTTCTGATTTCTTCCCAGATTTTCACAGCTATAGCTCCAAAACCACAGCCATGGCTGTGGAATTTTGTCTTCCTAAATTTTCTACAAAAAATGAGGGAAATCATCATTAATTTTATACTACTCTTGTATCTTTTAATATAAACTTAATTCTTCCTAATTAGAGTTAAAATTATTATATATATATTTACAATTTATCCAAAAAGAGTACCAAAAGTTGAGTATAATTCATGAATAAAAGACACTCAACAACAATACAATTAATATTTCAAATTATACGTAAAATAGTTGACACAACTTATTCAATGTAAAATAGTTGAAGCCAATGTTTATTGTATCCAATCCCAGTTATACTGATATGGTAGACAAGGGTCTCTACAAGCACTCCAAATGCCAACTTTAGTTGTAACAAACTTTCCACTACATGTACAAAAGAAAACACGAAGGCCAAAGTGTATACAGAGTTAATAAAAAAAGAGAACTCATGGTAACAAACAGAGATATGTATGTCTAAAGCCTGCAGAGTAAACAATGTGTTTGCTGAAGCTGTCATATAGGTGATGTATATTTCTTTCATGCTTCCAAAAGGAGGAACCATGGAACTTGAAAAGGGCTTCTTGTCTATGTACATTTAGATGGGTCTTTTGCCAACTGCATTTTCCATCACGTCTGTGAAGTAAGAAGTGATGTAAACATGAAGTTCCTTTGTAGGAAGGCTAATGATAAACTGCATGTATTCTTTGGTGTTTGAGGAAATAATAGCATTTTGAAGTGCAGCTTTTGGTGGATGATCTTCTGCTGTACTAATGTTGGCTGCGAATGGTCGTCATCAAAATGTAGAATAACTTCACGCATAACTAGCAAGCGTCTTACCTAGTTTTGCTCTTGGAATAGCCTTCTAGCAATCATTTCACGGAGAAGTTTCTCTGCCTTGTCATTCTCATCATTTTCTAAGAGAGCACGGATAATTATCTCATACGTTACAACATTGGGAATGCAACCAGCATCTTCCATTTTTGACAGAAAGGCTAAAGCTTCACCAAAAAAGCCCTTTCTACAAAATCCATTGATCATCACAATATATGTCGAAACATCTAGATGATAGCCTTTAATCAAAAGATACTGAAAAACCTCTCGTGCATTCGCAAGTCTTCCATCCTTGCACAGGCTATCAATGATTAGTGTGTATGAATACACATCCAGTTGACTTCTCTGTTCTTTAATTTTCTTCAATAATGCAATTGCCCTATCTAGATTATGGTTTTCTCTATGAGGGTAGCATAGAGTCATTATTTGGACTGAATGTCCCATCTAGCTATCGGTCCTTGTCTTGACAAGGACACACACACACACACATATATATATATATATATATATATATATATATATATTATTTGTTTTTGGGTGCAAGTCCTTAGATGTGTATTTCATGTTTACTTCTTTTTTTCTCTTGATTGTAGTTGGTCTTCTATTAATTTTTGGAAAGATTTCCGTTCACAGAAGTCCCATTTTAAAATGTTTCTCCTTGTTTACATTGCCTCTTAATATTGGACTGTACTCTGATTGCTTATATTAGTTCTCTTAAAGGTTCAAATGTTACAGGATATTTCATAAATTTAGGAACTTGGATGACTATGGAACTTAAATTTGTTTATATTCCTTAACATATAGTAATGTCTCCATTGACAGATTTATTGATGATTTATTGATGACGCCTATAATGAAGGGATTCCAGTTGTAATATTAACAGCCTATACAGTAAAAGTGCCGACAATATTGTCAGGTAATTCTATTAGCTCCAAAATTTTGCAGTGGTACTAAGTTACCGAGTAGAATAATATTATGATTATTGGTGGAATATGATTTTGTGGTCTTGAGATGTTCTTGATCACTCAAGCTCACCTTGCTGATTTGCTCACAAAATCTTTCTTTCGGAGCTATAAAAGGGGCTGCTTTTTTTTTTTTTTTTTTCATTTGGTACTAATGTCAAATTTTCACTCCAGTTTTAACTTTCAGAGCACTATTAGCTCTTTATCAGGTGGTCAACTGGTCCTATTAGTGGAATATTTTGTGAAAGCATGATAGTACTTGTAAGATTGAACAACAATTGGTGAGGTTTTTGTGAACTCTCCACTCGACAAGCGGACCAAGTTTCGATGTAGTATTTAAGTATCGTCCTCAGGGATTTAAGAATTTAGTAATTCTTACTCTAATAATCCAATAAAAGACATTGATATGATTGAAAGTGAATTAATGTGAAATAAAATAAAACGATAATGTAAAATTTATAAGAACAGTTATAGGAAGCGATGAACGAAGCCAGTAATTTAAGCAGAACGGGCCATTCTGCAAGGAGAACGGCCCGTTCTCCTAGGAGAACGACCCGTTCTGCACGGAGAACGGGCCGTTCTCCATGCAGAACGGGCTGTTCCAGAGGAACAAATAGCAAAAAAAAATAAAAAAATTAAGTGGACAACAAAATAACCTCAAACGAACAACGTGCAGACACTTAGAGACTTGGATACGTTGAATGTAGCAATAAACGATGTGGGAGACTTAAAAATTCAGAGGATTTCGTATAAACGATGAGCGCGGGAATGGAAAATGGTAAGTTGGGGGAATATAGTAGAATTATTATGTCGGATTATGTTGCTCAGACGTAAATTTACGTCGGCCTTGGGGGGGTCCGACGTAAATTTACGTCGGACTAGGGTGGGCCCGACGTAAATTTACGTCGGACTAGGGGGCCCGACGTAAATTACCTAATTTACGTCGGTCAGTCTACAAGGGGTCCGACGTAAATTAGTCTCCACTTATTTACGAAACTGTCACCGCGTTTTTACAACGTCGGTGTTTGTGGTTTGCAACGTAAATTGGGTGACGTAAATACCCTTTTTTGCACTAGTGTGTCTAACCATATTTCCATCGTTAATTCATAACAATGGGACATACTCCGAACCTTCATGTTAACAGAAAGACCTCCACCTTCATATATGGACCCACCATCACAAGCCACCATTCTATTATACTTGTTCAAGTTGAGTTAGTTCTTCATTGGCCTTATAATCACTTCTTTGTCATGCACCAGGATTCACACATTCCTACCAATGATGCCACTTGTTAGGGTACCTCAGACATATGTCTACATTGGTATGAGACATTTTGGGGATAATCAAAAGTAAATTGGTTCTAAAATAAGAAAGAATGTAAACAAGAACATACTCTATATAAGAACAAACAAAAAAAACAGAGAAATGAGAATAGCCAACAAGAATGTAAAATGAAAATGCAGAAAAAATGCAATAACAAAATGAAAAAGATTAATAGAAGAAAACACAACAGATTCACGTGCTTCAGTCAATTTGGCTTACATTCATAAGAGAGAGCAGATTTTACTATTTGAAAGCAAGACCAAGTCTTTATCTAGAGCAATTTCTTATTTTTCAAAAAAAATCCCTTGATCTCTCTAATTGATTAACTAAATCTTATAAAATAAGATAGATTGAATTCATCAGACTAATGAAGAAAGACTACATATAGTCTGAACCCATCAGATGAATTGAAACAAACTAAACTTATAAGACTGTAATGACAAAATACTTTACAAAATATATAAATGATAAAGTAAATTTTGAGTCACAATCAACAAGTTCAATACATTAGTAAGCTCTTAATTTCCTTTTATATTGATCATGTGCTACATAGTATAATCTTATCACTAATTAAAATTGTAATATAAGCATATGATTGAATATCCATTTAAAATCACATTCAACATAATAACACACATTTTAATATAAAATAAAAATAAAAATTTGTGAATATAATTTTTTTAACTCATTGAATTCAATTGATGTCCAAATACACTTTAAACAGTGAGCCCCATAAGGTTGTTTTGCTTTCAGTGTCTCACTCATATACCTACTCAAGTTAATTACTCCTTGGTTCACATTGCACGTGTCACAGCATGAACCAAATTTAGGCTGTATGCCTCGTAATAATAGACGCCATGATTTAATTTGCCAACCAATTTGATCACTTTCGAGACGTCATTAAAATCATATAGTTGGGTGAATCAATTAAATGGTGCTGCATGATATAAAAACGGTTTCGTTTAATAGCCGTTTACGTCAAACAGGAGCTAAATGCTAGCTAAGTAAAGAAGTTTTGGAATATCTTTTCTTACTCAAATTAAAGATATATTTTTAAGATAGAAAAAAATTATTCTCAGATAACACTTTTTTTTTGAATATTTTACTTTCTACTTATTTAATAAGTTATATTGAGAGTTTTTCTATCCTATACAACTTTTCTCTTAATAAAAAATTAAATATTTATAATAAATTTAAATCATTTAATATTTTATTATAAATATGATATTATTAAATTATAAAATAAATATTGATATAAATTTAATTACAAAATAAATTATCGATTTCTACACTGTTATCAATCCAAATAATAATAATAATAATAATAATGATAATAATAATAATAATAATAATAATAATAATAATAATTATTATTATTATTATTATTATTATTATAATATGATTGTGTCGAGTTGAATCATGAGTAAAAATATACAATTTGATATCCAAACTCATGTAGTATCAGATTTTGATTATCGGGTTAAATATGATCCAAACCTTAAAAAAGATTAAACTAAATTAATTAAATCAGGTAGAGTTAATTCAAGATTACAAGTTAATTGTACCCACGTACACTCTTTAATCAAGAGCAACTGCACAATAAAGAAAAAAGAACTAAAGACAAATCTGAAGCTCGAAAGAAAATGAACAAAAGTCTGTAGAGATGTACCGAATTAACTAGTACGTCAACCTCTCTAACTCGACTTTGATCCCGCATCAAGTCTATTCCTAGAACAAGAGATGTTTAGGTGCAAGGTTCAGTTCGGGTTTTTAAAAACGTTTTCTAACCGGATTCAAAAACCAAAAATCATACAACAGGTGATCAAGCCGATATAAGTATTAAGAGAAAAATCAAACACAAGTAATAAAAATGAAATGCATATATATATTTAAGAAGAAGAAAAGTTAGTAGTTACATCCAGACCAATCCTCAAAGATTTAGCCCCTCATGGCCATTTACAAGATCAAAGAAGTGGAAGAAGAAATTACAAAGGAAGAGATGAAGAAAAGGAGTTGATCTCCGTTCCCAAGTGATCCAGCCTCCAAATCTTCATTCCCACTCTGTTCTTTCTTCCTCCTGTGCTCCCAGCTCTTGTTTTTCTCTCTGTTTTCCTCCTACCAAAAATCCCCCTCGTTTCCCTTTTATATCAACTTTAAAACAGGGGAGGAATTGTAATTTTTAAGCTCACTGCTGCAGCTGTAGATTCACAACTATGGCTGTGGGAACTCCTTCAAGGTGAAGTAAGCTTCACAGCTGCAGCTGTGGTTTCACATCCATAGCTGTGAAAACTCTTTCAAGTTTAAGGAACCTCCAACGCTTTAACTGTGAAATTCACAGCTATAACTGTGACTCTCTGGTGCTCTCTCTCAATCTTTAGTGTTCCATGGCTCTAGCTGTGAGCCCACAACTTTCGCTTCAAGTTTCTGGACCCTTAAATTTGCATTCCAGATTTTCACAGCTATAGCTGCAATTTTCTGACCTTCTGATTTCTTCCCAGATTTTCACAGCTATAGCTCCAAAACCACAGCCATGGCTGTGGAATTTTGTCTTCCTAAATTTTCTACAAAAAATGAGGGAAATCATCATTAATTTTATACTACTCTTGTATCTTTTAATATAAACTTAATTCTTCCTAATTAGAGTTAAAATTATTATATATATATTTACAATTTATCCAAAAAGAGTACCAAAAGTTGAGTATAATTCATGAATAAAAGACACTCAACAACAATACAATTAATATTTCAAATTATACGTAAAATAGTTGACACAACTTATTCAATGTAAAATAGTTGAAGCCAATGTTTATTGTATCCAATCCCAGTTATACTGATATGGTAGACAAGGGTCTCTACAAGCACTCCAAATGCCAACTTTAGTTGTAACAAACTTTCCACTACATGTACAAAAGAAAACACGAAGGCCAAAGTGTATACAGAGTTAATAAAAAAAGAGAACTCATGGTAACAAACAGAGATATGTATGTCTAAAGCCTGCAGAGTAAACAATGTGTTTGCTGAAGCTGTCATATAGGTGATGTATATTTCTTTCATGCTTCCAAAAGGAGGAACCATGGAACTTGAAAAGGGCTTCTTGTCTATGTACATTTAGATGGGTCTTTTGCCAACTGCATTTTCCATCACGTCTGTGAAGTAAGAAGTGATGTAAACATGAAGTTCCTTTGTAGGAAGGCTAATGATAAACTGCATGTATTCTTTGGTGTTTGAGGAAATAATAGCATTTTGAAGTGCAGCTTTTGGTGGATGATCTTCTGCTGTACTAATGTTGGCTGCGAATGGTCGTCATCAAAATGTAGAATAACTTCACGCATAACTAGCAAGCGTCTTACCTAGTTTTGCTCTTGGAATAGCCTTCTAGCAATCATTTCACGGAGAAGTTTCTCTGCCTTGTCATTCTCATCATTTTCTAAGAGAGCACGGATAATTATCTCATACGTTACAACATTGGGAATGCAACCAGCATCTTCCATTTTTGACAGAAAGGCTAAAGCTTCACCAAAAAAGCCCTTTCTACAAAATCCATTGATCATCACAATATATGTCGAAACATCTAGATGATAGCCTTTAATCAAAAGATACTGAAAAACCTCTCGTGCATTCGCAAGTCTTCCATCCTTGCACAGGCTATCAATGATTAGTGTGTATGAATACACATCCAGTTGATTCTCTATGAGGGTAGCATAGAGTCATTATTTGGACTGAATGTCCCATCTAGCTATCGGTCCTTGTCTTGACAAGGACACACACACACACACATATATATATATATATATATATATATATATATATATTATTTGTTTTTGGGTGCAAGTCCTTAGATGTGTATTTCATGTTTACTTCTTTTTTTCTCTTGATTGTAGTTGGTCTTCTATTAATTTTTGGAAAGATTTCCGTTCACAGAAGTCCCATTTTAAAATGTTTCTCCTTGTTTACATTGCCTCTTAATATTGGACTGTACTCTGATTGCTTATATTAGTTCTCTTAAAGGTTCAAATGTTACAGGATATTTCATAAATTTAGGAACTTGGATGACTATGGAACTTAAATTTGTTTATATTCCTTAACATATAGTAATGTCTCCATTGACAGATTTATTGATGATTTATTGATGACGCCTATAATGAAGGGATTCCAGTTGTAATATTAACAGCCTATACAGTAAAAGTGCCGACAATATTGTCAGGTAATTCTATTAGCTCCAAAATTTTGCAGTGGTACTAAGTTACCGAGTAGAATAATATTATGATTATTGGTGGAATATGATTTTGTGGTCTTGAGATGTTCTTGATCACTCAAGCTCACCTTGCTGATTTGCTCACAAAATCTTTCTTTCGGAGCTATAAAAGGGGCTGCTTTTTTTTTTTTTTTTTTCATTTGGTACTAATGTCAAATTTTCACTCCAGTTTTAACTTTCAGAGCACTATTAGCTCTTTATCAGGTGGTCAACTGGTCCTATTAGTGGAATATTTTGTGAAAGCATGATAGTACTTGTAAGATTGAACAACAATTGGTGAGGTTTTTGTGAACTCTCCACTCGACAAGCGGACCAAGTTTCGATGTAGTATTTAAGTATCGTCCTCAGGGATTTAAGAATTTAGTAATTCTTACTCTAATAATCCAATAAAAGACATTGATATGATTGAAAGTGAATTAATGTGAAATAAAATAAAACGATAATGTAAAATTTATAAGAACAGTTATAGGAAGCGATGATTGGACTCAGGAGTACTTGCTAACTCTTAAATCTTCTTAAAATAAATATGATTTCAATTTCATGACTTCTACGTTCATTTAGTAATTCAACAAGATTCTTCAAAGTTGAATCCTAAAGTGATTAATCTAAAACAAGATTCCTCTATGTTTTGAAATTAACACTTTGCATTAAGAACAATGACTTGAACAAGGCGACTAAACAAATCAAGTCTATTCCTAGAACAAGAGATGTTTAGGTGCAAGGTTCAGTTCGGGTTTTTAAAAACGTTTTCTAACCGGATTCAAAAACCAAAAATCATACAACAGGTGATCAAGCCGATATAAGTATTAAGAGAAAAATCAAACACAAGTAATAAAAATGAAATGCATATATATATTTAATTCATATATAATAGAGATTTTCTATTTTAGTATACTTTATTTGAGATAATTTTAACCTTTTAAATAAATTTTTTGTTAAATAAGAGTTATGAAAAACTACAAAAGTTTTTATATATAATAATTATCAACTATTTTATTAACGTAAGTAATTAAATGGAAGTATGAAGTATTTTTCTCTCACTAATTTAGAATGAAAGAAGAGTTTTACATCAAAGTGAAGTAACTGTTTTTTTTTAAAAGAAAGATCAAGAATATATAAAGAGTATTACTAAGTAACAATAAAATTAATGTATTTTTTAAAAGAGATACACTACAACAAAATAGATCTTTAGTGGTATTTAATATGATTTTGAGTGGCAATAAAAATTGTTACAAAATTTTTTACCGACATTTTCACATTAGTCATTGTGTACAGTGTTGCTAAAATATTTAGCAGCAATTATTCTAAATACTGGTAAAAACCCTTATATTGGTCGAAAAAAGTGTATAATTTTTTATAGCATTTTTTACTTTTTAGTCGATGTAAAACTTGTAAGATGAGAGCTGTCTTTTACTTATATATATTTTAATTTTCTTATTTTTTTTAAGTGTCTTAATTATCTCTAGTTGATGTGAGATAAGATGATGATTGTCTTCTACTTATATATATATATATATATTTTTTTTTAATTTAATTTTCTTATTTTTTTTAAATTATCTTATCAATAGTCGGTCCTCTCAAGTTTAGGAACTATTGAGTTTAAGTTATAGGTCTAATTCAACTATACAAAATAAACTTGTAAGGTAAGAGTTATCATCCATTTATATACTCTTTTATTATCTTATTTCTAGTCGATGTGGGACTTAAGTTTTTTTTAATAAATAATTATCGTTAATAGTATATTTTAGTGTAATATATAAATACATTTTTAGTGATAATTATATATTAGTCATTAATATTTTTATTAAATAATAAAATAAATACAATTAATTTATTGCGGTTAAATAATTATCGGTAATAATAAATTTTATTGTAGTAATATTAAATAAATATGAGTGAGAAATTTATATGTTTTTTTATGTAGGGAAAATGGTTTGAAAGTGGGTATTTAATACCTTTTCAAAGACAAAGTCTTGGGACGTTGATTTTGGTTTGAAAGAAAAGAAGAAAAAAAAAACTTTCAAAGTCTCGAGGAATGCATGATTAGTAAAAATGGGATGTGCACTTGTTTGTGTTATTTTGGTATTTAGTGTTATTGTGTTTGGTTGCTAAAGGGTCATAATTTTTCATGTATAGTTTACCTGTTTTTATATAATTGATTCGGAAGGTTCTTTTCATGTTATGGGTAGCTTGGCTACATCTTGTGGCTATATCTTCTTGTTCATTAATAAAAAAGTTTAGATTATTTTCAAAATAAAAATAAAAATAATTATTACTTCATTTTTCATTTTTTAATTATCAAAATGTACTAGATTAACATTGCTTATGGATAATTTTTTACACAGCCATAGTAAATGAAACTCAATTATATCAACTACTGTACTTGTGAAGTAAATTAAATTAATCACCATTTCACCCCTTTACAAATTAAAGTATGAAATAAGTAAAACTATAGAGTTTAACTCTTAAATTAATGTCACATATGAGAACATGAAACAACAAAACTTATCCCTTTACAAATTCAAGTGAAACCCTAGAGTAACAACTTATCCCAAGAAACCAATCTGAAGCTGTAGTTACAAAAAAGTTAGACAAAAGATGTTGAAGCAAAACCAGAGCAGCATAGCACAAGACGATGACCTCACCCCACGAGAGTCCTCACTCTGAAGCACCGGCGAAGACGAAGAGTACAAGGTCCGTATGCTGGCCACGTCATCCATGCTAAGCTCCCTTCTGTTCACTCCCTCACGCGCATACGCATACATAACCGCATCACGATGCGAGCTATGGCCAAGCCCTAGAAGGTGACCAATCTCGTGCATGGCCACCCCACCCACACTAAGTCGTAGTCCCCTCTTTTGATCGGAACCTCCTCGCTCCACGGCTGATCCGCGTCCACGTGAAGCCTCCCATCGGGTGGCGCAAAAGCGTGACCCAAAGCTCGACCACGTTTCTCGAAGGGCACACCGTCCCCGTGCTCCCCCTTGTGAAACCCTATCACGATGTCCCAACCTGAGCTTCGCTCCCGAACCTCCGAGAACGTGAACGTCGACGCGCGCGACCACTGCCTAAACGCTTTCTTGAAGACGCGCCGTAGAAGCTCTAACGCTGCACCCTCCGCACCGGATTCGAACCCGTACGTCAGGTGCCGCTTCGAGCTTGGCCACTGGGGTTTTCCTTTGAAGAACGAAAACCTCGAAGTGAGTCTCAGTCCCGTGTCGTCGGGCGGTGACGACATTAGTTTTGCGGTTTCTGAATCGAGTTTTCCTGACACGTTTAGGTTGTAATATTCTTGGAACCTTTTTATTGAGTTTTTCAAATCTTCGTCATTGGCTTTAAGATATTTTCTCACGCTGAAACTAGTGTTGTCGTTGTTGTCTTCTAGGTATCCGAATTTCTTGAGATATTTTCTCACGCTTTCTGGTGTCTCGTGCTTTTGAATGCTCTCAGGGGTAGTTGATGATTTCAGGCTTCGTGGGTGAACAACGAGAGGTTGCGCCACGAGAACGAGAAGGAAAATCGCGGAGAAAGTTTTCAACATGGCTTCCTGGGAAAGTAACGTGGTAACCATATGAGGTTTTTGGAATGAGCAACGTTGTAACTATATGAGATTTTAGGAAGGAGAGTAATGATATGGTGTACGAAACTTATATAATGATTTGTATATAATATATATGTTCAAATTATTTTAATTCCCTCCCTCGATCACGAAATTTATCTTAATTTTTTTTTTCACGCAAACTTTTATGATAATTGTTAGATTCGTTTTTTTATTTATTTATTATTATTTCAGTCTCTAAGATTGTTTATATCTTATCATGTATTTTTCTCTCCTCTTTGAGATTTATCTCGTAAAGAAAAGAAAAAAAAATGGAAGAAATATATGTATCTTGCAACGAACTATATATCCTCATGGCTTTCTTGGACGACAAGCACTATGAATATATTATCAGAAACACCTTCTGGGAAAGCACAGGAGTAGTCCTTCAAATTCAATGAGCTATATTAATTTGAAATGATCGGGTATTGAACTTTTTCTTCAATTATCTTAAGAAAAAGACAAACTGAAAAAATCTCGTAAATTTTAAAATAATTCATAAAAATGAAACAAACTTTAAGATTTTTTTCAAAAAACTTTGTAATTAATTTTTTTAAAAATTTTAATTTTAATGAATTTATATTTTTGAAAAGACTTTATGAATTTATAAGATTTCAAATGATAACATTGATTTAAAGAAATTAATGTGTTATAAGAATTTATGAAAAAAATAATATAAACAATATTCAAATAAATAAAAAAAATTAATACATTTTTCTTCAATCTCTTAATAGATAATTGATTATAGTTTTATGTCATTTAAAATAACATTTTTTTACATATCTAAAATTATAATAGTTTCTCACACATTGACATTGTTTCCTTCATGCTTTTGTAGGCTAGTTCAACAAAATGTGAGGTCTAAAGCAAATTTTAAAAGATTTTTTTTTTAAATAAGAAAGGTATATGTTGAGTTTTTTTATATTATAAATATATGAGGACAATTTTTGCAAACTTATGAGACTTTTTTGATACTATATGTGGCTTTTTTACTTTATAAAATTTAATAACAAACATTATTCTATTGGTGGCCTAAAGCATTACTAGACTTATTCTTGGACTAGCCAGCTTGTACTTAGGTTTGAATGATACGTTCAAATGAAAATTTATCATAACGATAATTAATAAATATATTCTTAATCACATTCTTTAAGAATGCATGATGAAAATTGAAAAAAATCATTTTGATTTTAAGAGTCATTACCAAATCTTGTAGATATGGAAATGGAACTACAAGATGGTGTTGATTAAGAAATTCGTAATCCATTATAAAATATTTACCTAATTAAATATATACAACACATAAAATAACTATAAAAATAAAATAGAAAAAACATATCCATAATATTTATTTGTCCTTTGCTCAAATATAAACCAAACGGCAGACAAAGTAATAGAGAAAAAAATGAAAACAAACAAATCAGAGAAGTGGAGACATATAAAGAGAAAACATAGCCATAATAATATTTTAAAGGTTATGTACTGTACTACTGAATGCTCCAACATTATAAAGAAGCAGCATTGGCTATCAAAACGCATGTAAAATCCACTTAGTGCCTCCTCCATGTCGCAAAGTGCCAAGTCATATATAAAACCCCTTAAACAACAACAGAATTTTGCATACCTCCATTTCACAGCTTCCATAAAGACTCCAAATACAATCACGTCATCGACTTGTCCTTAATACAAAGTAATAATAATATTTACACCTTACCTTAATGAGAAACCCTGTTCCAAAAATCAAAATTAATTAAGCGGGCGAACGGCCTCCACCACAGCTCCTCACCACCACGCCGGCCACCGGCGCCACCACCACTCCAAAACTGACCAAATGAAAGTGTAGAAGGCCAATATTGTTTTTTGTGTTTTTCTTTTTTTATCTCTTCCTATATATATATATATATGCTTCACTAAATAGTAAATAGATATAAGATATTAATTAACTAGACTATAGTTTTAGTACATTAGCATAAGTGAAGTCATGACCACATTGAACCACCGTAGCTGGCCTGGTCCACCGCCATGTCCATGTCAAAAATAGACTTGTCGGTTGGGCTTGTGGGCCTAAGCCCATGATTGGAAAAACATCTGTTTTGTCTGAGCCGAAGGTGGGCCACCTCAGCCTGGGCCAGGGCCAATTGGGTCTGTAGCACATCAATCTGTTGCTGGAGCGAAGAGATGGCCCCAACGCACCCATAAACAGGGTCTCGGACTCTCGCATTCGCTTCATACACCATGCTGCTCACTGCATCCCCTCGTTGATGCATTGGTAGGTCCTGAAATTTTCATGGTTACCATCATTTCATCAAGAGAAATTTAAGTAAAACCGAATTCAATCTTTAAATAATTATTTTTCTTTCTAATTTTATAAACAGAAAAATATTTTAATAAAATTAATCATTAACAAAATCAATAAATACCTAACACCAATGATAAGACGAAAAGATACTGTTTACTTCTGATTAAAAAAATATTTTGGAGAGACATGTTCACGTGGTGCTAAAGAGGAACGTTAACTTAAAAATATTTTTTTTATTGAGCGTGGAAAATGAACGTCTTGTGCAACGGGTTTGCAATATCCCATTTTCAAGTGTGATTTTACAGAAAGTTGTATTATTTATTTAGTAATTTTACAATATTTTTTCTATTTTATTTCACTTTGTTTTTCTTTCTTTATTGTGTGGAAAAAAAATTATATATAAATAAATAGTAGTCTAGTAGAACTATCATTTGTCTTTCACAAATGCGCGTTGCTTGTTATGTATGTCAATGCTACAATTTGTTCTTCACCTTGACTTGGGTGCCAAAAGCACGTTTGCAAGCTCCCATTGGCTCCCACGTATAGCCAAATGATAATGAAAGAAAAGGTTAATTTTGAAATAATTAAACAAGCCAATATGCTTTAAAATTTAAACTATTATGCAGTCAGTCACTATAGTATACCTTTACACGTATGAATCTAATTCAGTTTTTAAAAAGAAAGAAATTAAAGAAGCCTACTCAAGCAAATAAAACCGTTAAAAAAATCAATAAGAAAAATACTTAATTAAAATTTATTAGAATTTACAAATTTATGAATGGATTCATTAAATATAGAGTGAGATTTACAAAATCATGTGATTTTAATAAACTCTAACTAATAATAAAGAGTGTGTTTTAAAAAAATATATTATTAACATTTCTCTTACTAATAAATTAATTTGGATAAAATGTTAATATATATTGTTGTTTAAGAATTTGCGATACATATATGTAATATATAGATGTCAGATTTATTTATTAGAATATTTTCTATGCACTAAAAACATTTATACTGTCAATTAATTAAAAAATGATTGTTGATATAACTTTTAAGATTTAAAAGTTAACAAATTTATTATCATGCAAAATAGTTTATAACTAGATGAGAGTACAAGCTTTTTTTACACTATCTGTGCCCATATTATTTGCTCTTTATTTATACTTAACTTTTACTATACTTATAAAACATTTTACAATGAAATGATGCAATATTTTAAAACTATGTAATGGCCAATATTTATCTAGTATACTTCATTCAAAAGTTGCACACTTTTTTTCTTCTTAATTAGCTCATGAAATGTCTTTTTCATTAATTTATTTTTTCCAACTATTTTGAACGAACATGGTCGATTAAACCAAAAATTCGGCAGAAGATATGATCGAGGACTGAGGAGTAAAGACCAAAAGTGATCTTTATTGAAAGTCTATCATTTAAGTTTATTTATTTTAAAGTTGAATAAAATTAACTTTAATAAAGCCAAATTTACTCGTTGAATATAATTGTGTTGTGTATTCAATTTAATTTCAAAGTTTAATAGATACGCACTTTTGAGTATAAAAGATTTTATACTAATAATTAATAAAAAAATAATTTAAATATATAAATAGTAAAATAATTATTATGAAATTAATAAATTTATTATATATAATAATTTGTGATTGAATAGCTGTATTAAAAATATTATAATATCGGTGTGTATATATTTTTATCTTAATTTTAATTATACATCTTATTTTCTATTTAAACGTGTGTGAAAGTTGGAAGAATAAATTGTCAATATTATAAAAGAAAAACTCTTATTCGGTGTTTTTTTTTTTGTGAAGAAGGTAGAATTTTTTTGAAAAAGATGTGGTGAGGGTTTAACTTTAAAGTTTAAGGCACTTGTGAATTGTGATGTTTTAATTTTTTGATAAATTAAAAATTTCAATTTACACACGTCTTTAAAAACACATGGATCTAATGAATGTGAACTTTGGGTGGCAGCAAGATATATATTGTGATCTTTATTGAAAGATGAAGAAAAAATACAAAAGTAGACAAAGAGGTGAAGATGAAAGATAATCCATCCATGCTTTTCTTTTCGTAAACTTCAATGGGTTTATGAGAAAAAGCCACGTTGCTGTGACTGATTCACTTGAAAAAATATATGTTCATTTCTTATAATTAAAGTGTATCATGTTTATTTTATTTTTTAGAAAAATACTATTGATTTATTTAATGAATATTTAAATTACATTAATTTTATTTTATTTAAAAAATTATATTTCATTTTGAAGAAATAAAAACATATATGATACATGTGTTTTTTTTTTTATCTATAAGAATTATGACAGCAGTTAACCAAATTCAAACTTAAAATTCTATGTATATCACGTTCAACCTACTATTAAATTAACTTCAATAGTTCAAAATATAAGATACTTTAATAAAAAAAACTATTCATAATACATAATAATTATGAAAAGGTCTTTTATAGTATTTTTCTCTCTATATTCTTCAAATTAACTAACCATACTCAAGACTATACACAAAAAATAATCTTAAAATGCTAGCTAATATACTAAAATAAAATATAATAAATATTATTTTAAAAATATATAATTTTTAAAAATACTAAGCATTTGTCCTTTTAACGCACACTATTATAATTACTTATAAGCCACATAAATTAATAAATAGCACCATTCCTTCTTATATATACTCAATTCCATTTCTTAAAAATTAATGCATATTTGTGTTGAACATTTATCTTAAAAAGGTAGTCTAGGCAAAAGAAAAATTAGTTCAAAGAACCAATTAATTATGTTTGGATAGTGTGAACATTTATCTTAAAAAGGTAATCTAGGCAAAAGAAAAATTAGTTCATCAATGAACCAATTAATTATGTTTGAATAGTGTTTTACATCCGAATAATTTGAAGATCTCTTTCATATATGGTGCCCCCAAGATTTTAGCTGATACTAGAGGTGTCTTTCCAAGATGCTCAAAAGAGTGAAAAAATTTCAACGTCCTAACGCCAAATAAAAGGGGCGAAAGATTGAAAAATAACTTATAAAAAATTTCACATAAATCTATGAATTATATATTGTGAAAAAGCTTACAGCAAGCAAAATATGATAAATTATTGTTCTAGAAACGTTTAGAAATATATAGATTTTAAGACAATTGTAAAGGGAAGTTATACCACAAAGCCTATTAATTGATATAAGGTGTATTTATGTTTCTTTTTTTTTCACTACCGAAGAAAATTTTTGTGAAACATAAAGAGTTTGATAAATATTGAATGAGTAAATTTATTTTTTAGTTGAACTTCTTTGCATTTTCTAAAATAAGATATAAGCAAGCAATTTTAATACAAATATTTGATTTTCATACAGGTCTTCTAATTATCACTCGTCTTAATATATATCTCTATATATATATATAACGATAATTAA